AAAAAAAAAAAAAACAGGCAAAAAAGATGATTTAGAAATGGAAAGATTAATTTCATTTTATTTATTTACGGTTTTTTTTTTTGAGACAGAGTCTCACTCTGTCACCCAGGCTGGACTGCAGTGGTGCAATCTCAGCTCACTGCAACCTCCACCTCCTGGGTTCAAGAGATTCTCTCACCTCAGCCTTCTGAGTAACTGGGACTTCAGGCATGCACCACCATGCCCGGCTAATTTTTGTACTGTTAGTAGAGACAGGGTTTCACCATGTTGGCCAGGCTGGTCTCCAACTCCTTGGCCTCAAGTCATCCACCCGCCTCAGCCTCCCAAACTGCTGGAATTACAGGCTTGAGCCACCACACATTAATTTTATACAGCTTATTTGTCTTCCTCATTTTTACACTCATCAAATTCTGAGACAAGCATCTCAGCATCAAATGTGATCTTTATAGAAAACTATATAATCTAAAAACGTGTTTACTAAAACATTTATTCACAGGGCAGTAAAAAGATATCCTAAATACAAAACGGGTCAATTCTTTATCTTAACCTTTTCAGTTTCTCATCCAAAATAAACGACTTTAACAACTTTACAGGAGACCAAGGCGGGGCACAGTGGCTCAAGCCTGTAATCCCAGCACTTTGCGCAGCCGAGATGGGACAATCACTTGAGGCCGCGAGTTTGAGACCTGCCTGCTCAACATAGGAAGAACCCATCTCATTTAATAAATATATATATATGAAAAAAAAAACTTTATAGGAGCCAGAAACTAGATGATTAAAAAAAAAATGTTGTACTCATAGGCAACTCAGCTCACACTCCTGGTTTTATTCTAGAGAACCATAATGAATCTAGACTGCATACTCACAATCAAAATGCCATGTGAGATATGTGCTATCAAATGTTTCCTGAAAACAGTTTCATGCCTAAGAGAGTGAAAAGCAGCATTTTAAGACATTTATTTAACCTTACTGGTACTATTCAAAGCATACTTTGCAAACTGGAAGATGTCAAAGACAAATTTTTCCATCTTTATTCCATTGGGTTTGTCTGGCTTAACTAAATGTCCTTGGGTATCCACATAAGGTATCTTCTTCTGAGCCACATGGTGCTGCAACTGAGGTTCATAAACACTAAGAAGTAGGAGGAGAAAAGATATAATCATGTTTCAGAGTTCAAATGCCAGAAAATCTTATAATACTCAGGAGCAAATGTGTCAACAACCAATACTAAGATTTTCAAAGTGAAGAGCATTTAAGTTTCAGTTCATATTTAAATAGTAAATGAATAGCTTTCCCCAAATCATCTATTTTTTAAAAAATCAAATAACGGTCTCCACTAAAACTGTGTACATGTGCATTAAAACTATATTCATTACAAATGCCTTAAAACTGTATATGTGTACATTAAAAAATGCATTAAGTTACTATGGATGAAACAAAAACCCAGCTACAAATGGCATAGAATGGGAAATATTCTGGAACTGGATAAAGTAAGGTGTATTAACTTTTTAAAAAGTAGACAGTCATCTTGAATGTCTAAAAGCTAAGTGAAATTGATAGTGAGAATGTCCTTCATTTAAAACTATGGTAGGATAAAATAGCTCTTATTTTATCCTTTGTAGCACTACCCACTGATTTTCATGCAGGTGTCAAGTTCTTTCTTTATTCTTTAGCACACTAGTTCCTAAATGCCAGCTTGGGAATCAGCTGAATTAGAACTCTGAGGACAGCTTCCTAAAAATACAGATGCCCCGAACCCACCTCCTGAAATTCTAATTCAGTTGGTGTAGGGTGAATATCTGTATTTTTAAAAAGCTCACAGTTGTGGTAAAGAAAGTTTCATTTCTTATTCTTTGCTTCAACAGAACCTAGCACATAGTTGGGGGTGGGAAGGTGAGAAGGGTGAAATGCTTTGGCCTCCCATTAATGTGCTGGGGAATTCCCACCTTACAATACATCTTACTAAAAACAATCACAACATGAGATACATGTCCATTTGATAAGTGATCCTCGGGAAAGATGAATTCTGTGGGATATGGATTTGGGGTATCTGCGTCCCTCTCAAGTGTCTTAGTTTCTGATTAACAATAAATATAATTTTAAAAGGCTCCATCTTGCCCATACTTGACAACATCTCTCAGAAATGGTACAGTGAAGAAATGGTTGGCAATGTTCCCCGCATTGAACAGCAGTCGTCCATCTGAGCTTCGTTTTTGAGCTGTTGCCAGGGAAATCTCACTATATTCTACCACCTGGTAAACTCCATCCACTCGGCAAACCACTCCAACTGGTTCTGTAGGGTTCGTTTTTTCCACCACCTGTCCACCAAAGAAAGACAACAGTAGAGAAAGAAATGGAATTAAATGTTTCTTTGGAGATTTGCCATTGTCAAAGATGACATTTACAACTTTGCTTACACGAAAAGGTATAAAGCCAAGAAGAATCTTTAACTTTAGACAATCAACTATCCATCTTTATATACCCTGACAGGCACTTTCCAACCGGAAATGAGGTACATTATTTCCTTCCTACTTATCACCTAACTAAACCATTGGCTAGAAATTCCATCATATATATATATATCTAGCACAGAGTAAATCACATTGGACTGGGAATAACTAAATCAGGAGTCAACATTCCCCATGTATCTTGTACTTTTTGTTTAATTTATCCTTAACCACACTCAATTACTTTGATAATAAACAAAATGAAATTTCTCTGGGATTCACAAGACAAAAGACCTAAGTTAGGCATTTTGTCTCTCATTTTCTATTGCCCAATATTTCATTTGAAAATAGCATTTCTTTAATTTTCATTAGTGAATATGGCATTTTTCTTGTTTTTCAGGGACCTGAGTAGCAGGTAAAGGGGTTTAGAGCAGGCAGGTCACTAGCCTCCCACTCCAACTTTAATCAGAAAACCCAACCATATTTATCTGTTTTGTATACTCAATTTTGTTTGAAATAAGTGATTCTACATTTCAAAAAATTAATTTTGAAAACCAGTGATGTGACAATTTATCAAAGGCTCTGGACTGATGAGGAGCTGAGAAAAGAGGGCATACTAAAATCAGAGGGAAAATGTAAGAATATGTAATTTTTAAAAACCTCACAGGTGATTTTGGTGTGCCACCACACTAATCCCACACATCACTGACTTAAGTGTTTACAAGAAAATTATAAAAGAACTATATACAATGAACAATATAAAATCAAGGTTCAGATGAGATAAATATCCAACCAAAGAATCAAACAATAAAAAATATTTGTCAACCTAGGCAACAAGGTGAAACCCTGGTCTCTATTTAAAAAATAAAAAAATTAGCCAGGCATGGTGGCATGCTGGAGTCTCAGCTACTAGGGAGGCTGAGGCAAGAGGATCACCTGAGTCTGGCGAGGTTGAGGTTACAGTGAAACGTGATTGCACCACTGCACTCCACTCCAGCCTGCGCAACAGGGTAAGACCCTGTCTCAAAAATACATATTTATTTGAAGGTATTATTTTATTTGTCCTGTCCAATTATCAATTCAGCATGCTTCAAAATATGTTTAAAACAATTTGACAAGTCTATCCTAAGTGGACATGAAATTATATTAATAAAGTTAAAACTTTTCTTCAACAACTGATTTCTTAAAATAAATACAGTCAGTAGCAGTCTCGTCCAGAAAACTAAAGGCACTATTGAGAACTTTGTTTACACAGCAATTAGAGATATAGGCACTGAGTCTAGCTGGGTGAGGCAGAGCTGCTGGATAAGTAAGCCTGCTGTGTGGTTCACTGTTTGCCACCCTGTAAGGAACACAGTTCTTAATGAAAAGAAACTTTCTACCAAGGAATTAGATTAAACTGAAGGGGAACATTATTCAGTAAATCATTTAAATCAATCAGGGGCCTATTTATAATTCTTATCTACCAACCCATCACCACCTCTTACTTCATGTACTTTACCTACAGTCGGTACCTTACCAGGCAGGGAATTTGGGATAGATTCCCCTTATTCTCATTTTTTTTTTTTTAACACACACAGGTTTATTTTCCAATCACCACTATATACGCCTACTCCCAACCAGCCATAAAAATAAAAATGTGCATATTCACATTTTACATTTCCCAAAGGTTTACTTCTATGGCAACTATGAACCTCCAAATATTATAAAAGTCTACATTACAGAAGAAAGCATTTGTAAACTGCATGAAGTGGGAATCAATTTATATTATACAGAAAAGATATAAAGCTTAGACCGGGTGGTGGTAGCTCACGCCTGTAATCTCAGCACTTTGGGAGGCTGAGGTGGGTAGATCACCTGAGGTCAGGAGTTCAAGACCAGCCTGGCCAACATTGTGAAACCCCATCTCTACTGAAAATTTAAAACAAAATTAGCCAGGCATAGTGGCAGGCACTGTAATCCCAGCAATTTGGGAGGCTGAGGCAGAAGAATCACTTGAACCTGGGAGGCGGAGATTGCAGTGAGCCAAGATTGCGCCATTGTACTCCAGCTTGGACGAAATGAGAAAGACTCCATCTCAAAAAAAAAAACCACACAAAGAAAAGATATACAGTATAAACTTAAAAGGTTTACTCATTATTTCATAAGTTTAATCCAGAAAAACTGAGTCCAGGGCCGGGCGCAGTGGCTCACACCTATAATCCCAGCACTCCAGGAGGCCAAGGCAGGTGGATCACTTGAGATCAGGAGTTAAAAGACCAGCCTGGCCAACATGGTAAATTAGCCAGGTGTGGTGGCACATGCCTGTAATCCCAGCTACTTGGGAGACTGAGCAGGAAGATCACTCGAACCCGGTAGGCAGAGGTTGCAGTGAGCTGAAAGAAAAGCTGAGTACAAAATAACACTTTAACCTCAGAGTTACTATAATTGCTTTACAAAATGATCTTCAATAAATAATGGTTCCTGCCTTTTTAACTTTGCACTTCTGCAAATTACCTCACTCTTTCAGTCTTTTCTCATGTTCCTCACTCCATAAAAAATACTTAATGCACCAAGACAGGGGCCTATTAAAGTACTGCAGGCCAGGCACAATGACTCACACCTGTAATCCCAGCAATTTGGAAGGCTCAGGCAGGCATACTGCTTGAGCCCAGGATTTCAAGACCAACCTGGGCAACATAGCAAAACCCCATCTCTACAAAAAAGACAAAAATTAGCCAGGCATGGTGCCGGGTGCCTGTAGTCCCAGCTACTCAGGAGGCTGAGGTGAGAGAATCACCTGAACCCAGGAGGTTGAGGCTGCACTGAAGCCATGATAATGCCACTGCACACCAGCTTGGGGGGCAGAGTGAGACCCTGTCTCAAAATAAATAAATACAATAAAAATAAAGTACTGCAAATAATTCTACTACCACAGTATGAATCATCCCCTAACTTACATGTTTTAAAACACATATTTTAATGCTTTGATTTTCTTATTTTAAAAGGGCAGGGGAGCAATTACATAAAAGGCTTCTAACATTTCTAAAAGATTTTAATATATGCCAGTCTAGTTATATTTTGGTTCCATCTGAATATTTACTTATTCATTCACTAAGTGACTACTACATTACATGCCAGACACAGGACTAAACAGTGAGTGTCTTTGCAAGACTCAGTTTGGATTTACCCTACAGAGTCCACAGGTAATGGAGAGGAGTGACAACACTTGCATCTTTGCGTGATTAGTGTACTCACAAAAGTCAGCACACCAGTTTAAAGATTTTTGAGCTGTCAGCAAAAACTTAACTAATCTAAAGAGTATGGTTCTATAATGTAATATAATATAAGACTAGGAAGTTGGGAAACACGAACTCTAATCCTGGCTCTGCTAATGTGATAAAGAACCTTGAGCCTGGGTCTTATAAAGTACTAGAACTCTGGCTGGGTGTGTTGGCTCACGCCTGTAATCCCAGCAAAAGGCCAAAGTGGGCAGATCACCTGAGGTCAGAAGTTCAAGGCCAGCCTGGGCAACATAGAGAAACCCTGTCTCTACTAAAAATACAAAAAGACCCAAAAAAATCAACCAGGCATGGTGGTGCATGCCCATGGTACCAGCTACTCCAGAGGCTGAGGCAGGAGAATTGCTTGAGCCTAGAGACAGAAGTTGCAGTGAGCCAAGATCACATCACTGCACTCCAGCCTAGGCAACACAGCCAGACCCTATCAAATAAATAAATAAACAAACAAAGTACTAGAACTCAGGATTCTCATTTCTGAGATCAAAGGGGTTGACCAGATGATCTCTGCGGTCCTTTCCAGGTT